GTGATACCCCAACATCCCTCAAGAGCCCTTCACTTTACTGCATTGCTGGCTCAGGTGTGGCCTGAATTTGGGTATCTGTAAGGAGAATGTAATAAGGATGAATAACCTTGAGCAGTCCCATTCCCCATGGGAGGGATGAGTCGGGGGCAGCTAAAAACAGGCAGGCCTTCCCTGTCTCCGGAAAGGACAGCAGATTCCTGTGCTATCCAGATGGGATTTGAGTCACCATGAAGAAAATGGTCTCTCTGTGGCACTTGTCAGGGGCTGCAGAGAAGATAAATGTTGCTTCATTGCTCTGGCCCCGCTGTTTGTTCACCCACAGGGATCTCCTGGCCAGCTTTTCCGTATGTCAGCATCTTCTCACCACCCCAGAACAAGGGCATCGTGTGGCAGATGCTCCATGGAGGAGGAGATACTTCATCACACAGCAACAGCTCTGCTCCAGCTCCTGGGGCGGCTCAAGGCTGCTCCATCCCTTCACTCGGGGCTCTAACCCAACACATTTCTTGTCTTCCAGCATCCACAGGCAGGCTGCAGCCTTTGGAAACCTCCCGTACTCCTGATCTGTCCCTGCACACCCCAAACTGCCCCTCTGATTCAGGACACCAAGATGGAATGAACCAAGTGGTCTGAGCACATGCAGGAGGTCATTGAAGACATGCTGGCTTCGCAAAACAGATCCCGTGATGGATACAGGATCATCTATTTATTTTAAGTTTTATGGGGGGCATTTTCCCTTGCCAGGAGCTGGAGAATAGAGGACCCGGGTACCATCTGCCCAGGGGACTGGTGAATCATCCTATTTTCCAGTTAACCGCACTTGTTTGCTTTGGGAGATCTCCAAGTTAAGGGGGAAGAAAAAGAAAACCCAACCCATGGATCTTTTCCCACACAATAAGAAAAAAATGCCTTTTTTTTTTTTCTTTCTTTCTTTCTGATTTTTTTTTTTTTTTTTTTTTTTTTTTTTTTTACAAAAGCCAGTGTCAACTCTGCTTTTACTTAGCAGTGGGCTGGATAAAAATAGACAGTGAAGTCATGACGCCTTCAGAAGAAGAACCAGGTATGGCCTGGGGAGAGGGGGTGAGTGAAGTCAGGCTTGGGAGAGAGGGACAAGAAACCAGCATGATGGGGGCAGGCAGGGTTTTTGTCCCAGGACTGTACCGGGACAAGCATTGCTGCTTACCCTGATGCCTGGTGATTTCCCCAGCATGTTGCTGGGAGAGGCAGGAGGCTCTTTGGTGGATGCCCCAGAGTTCAAGCTCTCCTTCACGTGATGCGGATGGGGCTGTGGCCCAGCAAACACCAGGAGATCGGCTCTGCAGAGCTTGAGGCATGCTGGAAGGCGAGGGTAGTGGCAGGGAAGCAGGGAAGGGAAGCCAAGGGCTCGTGCTTTTGCTTTCGCCAGGACAGTCTTGCTGCACCTCCTCGCTTATTTTTCTGATCAGATCTGCCTTTTTCTCCTGTTTTATCGCCCTGCCAGGCGGTGAGCACGCTGGGCTGTTGGGAATGAGTGTTCTTGTGAGGGGCTTTGTCCCCTGCTAGGGGCAGGGTCCCTGGAAGCCACTTGGTCACCTGGAGCATAAGGAGGTGCAGCTGATGCCCACATCTCAGTTCTGCTGGTGGGAGTCTCCTGGGGCAAAGCCTTCACGGGGCTTTTTGTGCCGGGTCCGGGCACGTCCTGAGCTCAGCCAGGTTCCTGTGCTGGGGTGGCTGCAGGTGAAGACCCTCTGGGGCAAAGTCTTTGCATTATTTCTGCATCACAGGAGAAAACAGAGATGTGAGGGCAACCTTACAGCCCTGCAAGGGAACACGAAAGCCCAGCATGTACCAGGGAAATGGCAAATCTCCCCCCTGTAGGGCTGGTTTATGTCAGGGGTGCCTTGTTTGAGTGTTGAAGAAGACCCCAAATTACTGGTCCTCACCAGCCCTCATTGCAAGGGGACTCTGTGGTGTCCCCTGGGTCACCACATAGCTCTAGCTGTGTTCCTGCCAAAGCCACAGCTACTGCATTGGCTCGGTACCCTTGCAAACAAACACCAACTTAGGTCATGACTGAAAAGAGTTTGGCAGGCCTCAGCACACCCTTCCATGCATATGTCTTTATGTGCTTGGCAATGGGATGCCAATTCTACGTCGCAGAAGGATGCTGCACAGTGGGGGCGATGGGCCCTGCCAGAACAGGGGGAGCTGAAGCTTCAGACTTTTGATTTTCAGAATACAAGGTGAGGATTTTTTTGCTCTTCTACTTAAACAAATAAAAACTTCCAAGGAAAAAATAATCCCTGTGGAAACTTTAGCCTTGCCCACAAGGAAGGAACCTTCTATCAAGAAAATTCACATGGTGGGGAAAACCCATGTCCTTTTCTGCTCGGCAGCAAATGCTTCCACCCGCTCCTGGACGCTGAGCCACGGTTTCTCTGCAGCAGGAGGCTGGAGAGGCGCGAGGGGAATATCTGCATTTCTCCCTGATCAGTCACGGAACTAGCATTATCACTGGAACAATGGGCTCAGCCCAGGCCTGGCTTGCCAGAGTGGCTCCGCTGCAGTGCTCCCGGATTTATTTTTGTCCGGGCTTGGAGCGGGTTGCGGAGATCAGGTGACGGTACCCAAGGAGCACTTGGCATCGCCTGTCCTGAGGCCGTGTGTGCACATGGCCGTGGGAGTAACGAGCAGGCAGGGATGATGGAGCAGGGCTCGGCACACAGGGTAGCTGCACTCTCATTACTGGATCCTCTTCTCTTGGCTCAGCCCGCTCTGGTGACCAGCTCGTGGGAGAAGGGATGTTCTCTCGAGGACCGCTGATGTTCTCACTTGACCTGGCTCATAGCTTTGGAACTCAGTTGAGGGAATCAAAACCAGTGCCTGTGCTTTGGCACTGGAATTAGGACCTGGAAACCAGGTTCAGATGGAATTGAGTCGTGGGCATTAAGGGAGGTGACCAAGGAGACACACAAAGGTCTGTAGCAGAACTGGAGAAGCCCAGCTTCATGAGGCCCAGTGCAATGTCTCCATCTCTGAGCTTGTCTCCTTTACATATGGTTTTCATACTGGACTGTGTCTGAGCAGTGGTTGAGAACCCAGTTCGTTCCTGGTGCCCCCATACTGTCCAGAAGAGCAGTCAGCCTGGCAGATGTGGCTGAGAGCCTTTGAGTTGTCTGGTTTGGCAAGGTAGCCAAATCTCAGCAGTACTGGACACAACAATAAATCCTGAGGATCCCTGGGGCACGTCAAGGAAACCTGAGCTGCTTTCTGACTCCAGAAAGCACCACAACACAGGGGTTTGGGGCAGAAGCTGGGTTCATGGTCCTGCCCAGTCTGAGGGGTGCTGGGATGGGGTATTTCCCCCTGGCTCCCTCTTGGTGCCGTGGGGATGTGGTGCATTCCTGGTGCATGGCAGTTGGCTGTGCCACGCAGACCAGGCTGGCAACAAAGCCATTTGGAGCTGAACCTACCCACCTTTGCTATAAATCAACCCAAAATCTAGGTCATGCCAGCCCTGGACTGTGACATGTTCAAAGCCTGGATCAGAGGCATCTGCGAGGATGAACCAATCCCAGACTGGCCGTTGTCCTGAGCAGGGATTTTTGGAGCCTGCTTCCCCCTGACCCCCAACTGTCCTCTTCCGAAAGGACTCGGTGAAGCTGCTACAGCAAGGAGCCAACCTCAGGCTGTGGCAACTCTGATGCTCTAAGTGAAAACGTCACCCAGCAATGTGGCTTGGGCTCAGCTCTCCAGAAGCAATGTGAAGGTACCTGTGGGTGTCAGGGACACCCCACTGGTGCCAGCATCCTTGGCCACGCAGGAACACCTTTGTGCACAAGAAACCATCCCCAGCTTCAGCAGAGGCCCTTCACAGAGGTGAGCGTGACCACCGCCAGCAAGTTCATCTCCTGCTTTCTCCATCAGCTGGAGAAAATTTGCATCATTGGAGGCTTTTATTTCCCAGGGGGCTGTGAAGAGAGAGGAGCCTGGAGTTAATCAAAGGCTGGAGAATGCACAGGAGCAGCCATGGCTGGAGGAAGCTCACGGGCTTCTGTGCTGGAGAGGGGGCAGAGCTGCACTGGGGTGTGGGGAGACGCGGCATGTGGAGGGCTGGGGGTTTGTTTAGTGAGTGGCACCATGGAAACATGAGGAACTAGACCTTAATTTTTCAAGCATGGGATGAAAAGAGGGACCAGGGTGCTGTGTCACAACTCTGGGTCCAGGCAGTGCTAGAGGCATGCGTAACATCACTTGATGCACATGGGTGGCCCAGAGCCCTGTCCTGTGACTCCATGCACAGGTCCATCCTGACCTCAGAGGGAGCCAAGTGCTCAGGGGATGGGGCTCACCCTGATCCTGGGGGTATTCAAGCTGCGGTCTGTGAGCAACCTCACTCTCTGTGTGTCAGGCCATCCTGCAAAGAATCCCCTTTTATATAAATCCCAGCACTTGATACAAGAGTGGAAGGAGCCTACCCTGCCCCAGCAGGTCACTTCAGGCTTGGCTGAGCTTCTTTCCTCTTGAGGGGAGGTTTGCCAGCATCTCGGAAATAGCACCGGTGGGATCTGCAGCCCAGGCACAGCACTGCCAGTCAAGGACTTGCTCTCTGCAGCACGGAGCAGCAAATCCCTCTTGCAGCAGGAGGATGAGGATGGACGGTGTGGGAGCAGCTCCCTCTGCCAGCCCAGCGCTGTCCTTGCCGAGCAGGAGGCAGCAGTACCCACTCCCACGTCGGGAACTTATGACTGAGTTCTCACGTGCAGCAGGGACACGGTGACAATCCCGACCTCGCCTGCTGCTCCCTGTGGTTTCTGTGGCTTGTTGTCATATGTACAACAGATGATTTATGCTGATGCTCTACCCCCAGGGGATGCTTTATGGCTTGTGGCATATGGAAATCTATGGACCCCTCTGGCAACAGTTGCCCTCAGTCTAACACAGCTCCAAGGGACTGACCCTGCTGGTGCCTCCCAACTGTGTTTCCTTGGATCACTGTGTTTGGATCTCTCTGATGTTGAGATCAAAGAGCCTGTGTTCATCCCCAAGACTGGAAACACCCAGTGGAAAGGATACAGGCACAAAGGACCGTCCTTGTCTGCACTCTCAGCATAACCCTTACATTGCTGTGTGGAGAAAGGACACAAAAACGCATAGAGAAGTAAAATTATGGATGCCACCTATCAGTCTTCCCGTGGGGAAGATTACTGGACTGGTCTGCTGGATGAAATTTTGCAGACATTTAGCCCATGGGAGCTGGTGTGTTGCATGTGAGGTGTGTCCAGGTAGGATTTGTACCAGGGATCCAATGCACACCCCGGTCGCGGCACTGTCACGGTCATGGCAATGTGTCTTTCTGGGCTGATTAGGGAAAGCGTCAGGGACCTTGCAGCCTAACACTGTAAAGCAGCCAAGACTGACAGGCCAGGGCTTCTCCACTCACTCTGCTGGTGTTCCACTAATTGCAGCTCTCCCTAATTAAAAGTCAGTGATGTGGCTTTGGTGGCTGCAAGCCAGGTCCCTGAGGCGAGCCCTGGGCAGAGGCTGGGTAGCGGGAAAGGATGGGGTCATCCCTGGAGCCCAGCACACTGCCTGCAGAGGCATGGTCGAGTGCTGCAGAGGAACCAAGCATCCAAGAGAGTCCTCAGAAAGAGGAATGAAATCAGTGCCAACCTTGCCAGAGACGCGGGGCAGTGAGCAGGTGCTCTGGCCATGAGCTGTTGCGCTGTGCTGGAGTGAAATGCTCTGTGTTAGCTGCAAAGTCACTTTCCAGGTGGCAATGGTGAGTCGCCGTTAACCGCACAGCTCTGGGAGCTGGGGCTCTGCAGCAGAGGTAGAAAATCCCACGACAGGCTTGTATGAGCTGGTAACACTCTGCCTGTCCCAGGGGAAAAGAAGGGCCAGCTTGCTGCCAGGCACTTAAAAGAAGACAAAGTAAAAGCTGGATGATCTTTAGAAGAGCAGTTTCCTGTTGGCTTGTTGGTTGCTGATCTAATACTTCTTTCTCCTTCTTTATTTCCCTGTGAGGACAATTCGGTTTTAGTTCAGATATGTCTTCCCATGGGATAATGTCTCCAAGCAAACTCATCCTGAGCAAAGGCAGGAGGAGCATCCAGATGCCAGCACAAATGTAAGTGACTCTGGGGTGATTTCATTAAGAAGTGCTTGTGCTCTTATTGCATCAATGCAAACTCACAGGCAACAGTGAATTTTCACCCTAGACATATCTTCAACCCAAGCATGTGTCCTGCTCTCTCAGGCTGGAGCAAATAACATGTCTTAGGCCTTTTCATACCCAAACATGTCCTGTTTTGTAATCCACAGGCCAAGGGGGTGTTTATGTGTCAGGAAGGATGTCAGTTAAGGGCATGAGAGATGATGCTTTTGTCACCTGCAGAAACCAGAGATGGGAATTGAGACATCAGCTTATATCGCCTTAGAGGCTGCTCGAATGAGGGCTTGGGAATGGGGATGATGTCTTGGGAGAGGGTGAACTGCATGGCAAAAAGTTCAATGGGGCACTACAGGGAGGGTCTAGAAGAGGCAGGACAGGCTGGTCTCTCTCTGCTGGGCACAGACATCTTCCAGTTATCTGTGAGCAGACTTTGGAGAGTGGCTCAAAGTTTTCGGTGTGGTGCATCTCCCTGGGGAAATGGGGAGGCTCGTGCACAGCTCCTCTCCCTGGCCCGCAGCCGAGGAGGGCTGGCAGATGGAAAGCTCGTGGCTCAGGCTGGCTGCTCTCGACAGGCTAATAATACCTCTGGGAGAAGGTCAGGTGGGCAGCAGCAAGGGCAGCTCCTGTTACACACTGTCACACATCACCCTCGGCTGCCAGAACCTCCAGAAAAGTTTTGGGATGTCTTGGAGGAGAGCTGGTACTACAATCCCCTCCTCCATCAGTGGGTTTCCAGGGGAGGCGATGGCAGCCGGCTGTGGGCAGTTATCCTCACCTGGGTGTGGAGCAATGCAATAAACCCCAGCACCAGTCCCTGCTCTCCCATCCCTGCACTGCATCCTCTGTGTCACCGCATCGTGCCCTGTTTCCCCGTCCCAGCAGGAGCTGGCTGCCACGGGGCAGGCCCCCTTGCCATCCCACCACAGCAAATGTCCCGGCAGAGCGGGGGTTTTCTTACTGAAAAGCTGCTTAGCAGCTTATGGAAACAATAAAAGTAGTATTATCTTCAATGGCGAGACAGATGGTTTGGATGATTGGTTTGACTTTTAAGCTGGATTTGAGCTACGGATATTCTGATTTTTAACAATTTTTGGCTGGTCCGACTCCGGCGGTGTAATCCTCAGATTCACGCTCCCCGTAAATCCAGCCCTCTCTGCGCCAGGGGCTGTGGGATGGAGACCTGCCCTGGGAGTTGGGGAGCACCCAGAGACCCACCCCCGGGGCTGGCAACCCCCCGATCCCGCTGTCACCACCACGGCCGCTGCTAGCCCTCCGCGTGCCGGGTGTCACCTCTGCCACCTCGACCTTGCGGGCACGACGCCCCTCTCTGCTCCCATCCAGCGTGGGTGGCAGCGCTCTGCAACTCCATCACTGGCAGGAGCCCAGACCTGAGCTTCTTCCCCATGCACTTTTCCCTCCCCCCCCCCCCCCCCCCCCATTGTCTTTTTCAAAGGGATTTATTTAGTCTTTCTCCTAATTATCAGGAGCTGCGGACTTCCCCCTACCATCTGAGTGCTGTTACCAGCCCGCAGCACTCCTCCTGCCGACACCGAGCGCCTGTTCTTGCCGTCGCCCCCACACCCGGCACCATTATGGTGCTGCCGTATGGAGCGCTCAGCAGATGACGTCTGGGGACCTTCTCCATCCCTCCTGCAGCGGGGACCCTCGGCCATCCAGGACCCTTGCTGGGGCTCTGGGATCTGCCTTGCTCCAGGGCTTTCAAGCAGCCTCCGAGGCTTTTTGGGATTGCTCCTGTACAGCCCTGTGTTTGGCCTGATACAAGGTAAAAAAAGGGTTTGGGGATGAAATCCAGCTTCAGCCCTGCTGGCGTTGGGGAAGGCTCCTCCAGAGGGCAGCTCCAGCCAAATAAAAACCATCCCTGGGGGTTCTTGGTTAACCCCAGTGCTGAGGCACAGAGCAGGGTCTCAGGTTTTTAATTACCTGGCCCAAACCTCCCAGCTGCCCCGCCTGAGAAAAGCCATCACACGCAGCACATCCTTCATAGTAGAATCATTTTTATTTAGCAAATCTCCAGAGCATTAAAATAAAACTCCCATAAAACAAGGGTCATCTTTGTGTTTACATTGAATTTGTAAACTGAGCAAAAGAGGAAGACTTCTACAGAGGTCAAAGGTCACCCAAAACATCCCTTTAAGAGAAATAACATCAGTTTTCTGTTCCGATCGCCAGCTTCAGTGCTGGTTGACAGCCACCAGCAAAGCAGAGGGTATGGGAGGGAGGGAAAGAGAGAGGAAGAGAGCGATGGGGGTGAAGGTTGTGGGGAGTCTCTAGGCCATTCAGTTCAGTCCTGCAACCAGGAAAAATTGCTGCCCTCCTGCACCCAGGTCGTGAAACACCGAGGGAAGAAAAAAAAAGAAAAAAAAAAACAAACAAAACCAAACCTTTAAGAAACAGGGGTGGTTTGTTGGGGTCTGTTTGTGGCAGCGCAGAGGCTGCTGGAAGGTGAAGCTGGAAAGGAGGAGCTGTGGCTGAGCACCTATGGTGCTCGGGGGGGAGAAAGCAGCTGCTGGCAGTGGGTGCAAAGCTGTTTCACCCCAGTTACACACCGGGCAGCCGGGCCGGCGAGCGGGGCCGTGCCCCTACAGCCGCAGTGGCTGCGAGCTCGGTGCCTGATCCCCTGATCCCCAGCAGCCTTTCCCCTGCCAGCTCCCGCGGGGCCTGGCAAAGCTCTGCCAGAGCTGCCAAGCTTATCTTTAGCTCTGTTCCCTCCCTCGCCCCCGCGCCCACCTCCTCGCCGCTCACCGCATCCCCGGCCCCCACCAAAACACGCCGTTATATAAGCGCTCGCAGCAACCATCTGGGGCTGAGTCAGCCACGAACCCAAACGGACAGCAAGCCCACGAGGTGGGGATGCCAGCCCCCAGATAACAGACTTTTGGGGTCACCAATCCCCCCCCCCCCCCTCCTGTAATGCCATCCCTGAGTGTCCAGCACCTGCACCCAGACCCTGCGCGGGTGCTGCAGTCCAGTGAGCAGGGACCCTGGTAGGGGACAATGAGAAACGGCCCAGGGAACAGGTGTGGTGCTTGGGGTCATCAGGTGGCATTGGCAAAGAGGGGAAGGCTTAATTACATGCTAATGAGGTATTGCCAAAATAAATGTGCCAGCTGCAGGGGAAGAGAAGGGGAAGCATCGACTGTGTAGGGAAGGGGTGTTGCTCTGCCATCTCAGACACATCTCTTCTTCCCTCTCCATCCCCAACCCCGATATCCCATCGGAAAGCCTTCAGCTCATCTTCCCTTAAAGCAGCACCACGGTGCCCAGTTTGACTCCAAATTTGTTCATTTGGGTTTTTTTTTCCCCAAAGCACAGGGGTCAGGGTGGGGGTCTCCTACGCCTCCCTTAAATCACCATTTTTTTTCTCTGGGAGCAGCATCGTGGCGAGCGTTTGCGACCTGAACTTTGCAGTGTTGTGCTGATTCACGACAGCTTGTCACCAAAACTGCCTAAAACCGACAGAAAAAGGGACGCTGACTCATGTGTTTGCCTTCCCCAAGCAGGGAGAAATGTGAAAGGTGAACAAAGTACTTAACGGGTGATAATTACATTCAGCACTGAAAAATTCAATTCATATTAATAAGCCAGCATGTTATTACTAATTGAGGCCTTTTACAATTTCAAACAAAAAAAAAAAGAGTACTTAAGGGTTTTAACCTTGACAGTGACCTTTTAACAACACGTGTAAGGAAACCCCTAATTTTGTCCCACTCACACTTATGACTCTGTGTTAAGGAGAAATTCCAGTCGCCGCCTTCCCGGTCTCCACGCAGGGTGCTGGGGGCTGGTTCCCCGTCAGTATCCCGTTATACAGCGGGATGAAACCTGATGTGGGATGGGATGGGATGTGGCACGAGGAGCCAGAAAGCTGGCCCCTTGGTGGGAGAGCTCTTGGCATTGCTGTTCAGGGCAGGCGGAGGGGAAGAAAGGAGTCGGAGAGGGTCCACCTTAATGCAGGATGAAAAAGCAAATTGCCAGCGGGAGAGCAGAGATGCTGCTCCGTTACTATGGTTACCCCCAGAGACAACTGAGCATCCCTGGGTATTGCCCTGCGGTACTTGAGCTGCTCCTGGCCACCCGGAATAGTGCTGGGACAATTCAGGTGGGTAAGGGAACAATTTGGAAGGGTCTGTTGGGTCTGAGCTGCTCGAAGCAGCCAGGAGAGAGGATGCATCCAGGCTGGGTGGAGGAGCAGCATCTCCAGTGGGGCCAGGGAAAAGTTCCTGCCTCCACCCCTCTGAGATGTGGTGCACCACCTTAGCGTGGCTGGGGAGGATTCATTAAAAAACCCCAGGGATTTGTCTCACAGAGTTTCCACCTGGCGCCGATCCTCACCAGTTCAGGAGCCAGACCAATGTGGTGCCCTCCCGGCGTGGCACTGGGTTTTTGGCCAGTGAGACACAGCAAGCCCTGACCTGGGGCGCGCAGCTGGGCCGGGCAGCACAGCGTGCAAACTCATGCTGGCTCCATCCTGGTAGGAGTCCAGAGCTCACAGCCCCTCTGCCCAGGCCCTGCCTGACCAGGGGGGATTGGCTCACCCAGATCTGAGCCAAACCTATCCAAACTGACAAAAAGACACCCTGCTTTTGGGGAGGCCAGAAAACTCTGCAAGGGCACAAAGAGATGCTCCGGTCCCCTGAAGCCAAAACGGCAAGAGTCAGGAGGGCACTCAGTGAGGGCAGGTGTAATGCTGAGTTTAGAGGGGTTTTAGCATTTATACATGTCTTGAGTATTAAAAGTGGAGGTTACCAGCTAAGAAACAGCCCCAAAATCAGCCATTGGCTATCATCCCTGCCAAAGACACCCCGGCCATGCCTGCGAGGTGTAAGCAAGTTCTTTCCCCACAAAGGCAGCCGCTGCCTTCCCATCCCCGCTGCTCCCGGCCACCACAGCCCGTTAGTCTAGTTCTAACCCCCGAAAATGAGGATGGTTGGAGTGGAAATAAAGCAAGGACTGAATGTCCTGGTAGCACATTTCCCTCGGTGCCAGCATCAGCTCAGCTCCCCGGGGATTTCTGCTACAAGCAGCCACAGAGGGAGGAATTCTGGAGGCAGTGGAAACCATCCCCAGGGAACTGCCGGCTCCTGAATCATTAAATGCTTCCACAAATGAAGTGATGGGTTTTCTAGTGCAAACTGCTGCGCGAGGAGTCACTGCCGCGTGGCAAAGCAAACCATGGGAGGGGAGGCACAAGAGCTTTGGGAAGCTGCTGCACAGGCTGGTGCTTGTCCCCAGCAGAGATGCTGGCAGGGACCTGCAAAAGCATTCCCAACACTCTCCCCAGCATTTTTCTTTCCAGGAGCCAGGCCATGTTTTGGAGGAGAACAGGGAGGTTTTTCCCATCTCACTTCCTGCCTGCCTGTAACAGGCCACTACCTTCCCCAGTAACCCCTGCTCCTCTCCTCAGCAAGAGAAAAGCTTCCAGAAAAACATCTGGTCCAGATTTAAAGGCATTAAGAGACAGAGATTGGTAGCTTGTTCTAATAGCTAATCATTATGAAAAGATCGCTCCTTATTTCCAAGATAGATTTGTCTGGCTTCAGCTTCCAGGAAGAGGTGGTTATTATGCCTTTCCCTGGTAGATTAAGTTACCTCTTTGTACCGGTGTATTTGCCCCGTGACAAATGCTGTAATCAAGTCACCTCTCAGTCTCCTCCTTTGATAAATTAAACAGGATGTGCTCTTAAATCATGCTTAGCCCCGGTCCTATCTTTGGTGATTAGAGTGAGTGGCTGGCAGTGATTTTTTTTTTTTAATGAGTAAAAAACTCCCTCACGGGGGAAGGGATGGAGCCAATGGACCCAACTGAACATCACCAGTGGGTGGAAGCTATCAGTCACCTGTCGCCCAACCCAGATTTAAACCTGTGACCAGCCTGAGAAATTATGAATAATTTCTCCAGGTTATCTTGGTACACAAGCCCTGTTCCCTGCAGCAGCCAGGTGCAAAAGACAGGAGGAAAATCCAGGGTGGCGAATCCAGGAGCTCCGTGTCCAGCAGGCCATTAACCTCTCCTTAAATAGTGTCCCACGCACTAGCTCTGCTTTCCTTCAACCGTGACGTACCATTAAAGACATTTAAACTGTCACTTGGACATGGCGTGAAGTCCCCTGAGGTCCCCGGAGGAGGCGATGCCCGTAGGAAATAGATCCTTGTGGAGCTCAAGGGCGACCAAGGTCGCTCTGGGAAGATTGATTGGGTCAGTCTTGGATGACTGGGCTCTTTCTGCCTGGGCTCAACACATTTTCCCATCTCCGGGCTCCCCGCATGGCTGAGCCACTGCGATCCGGTCCCCTGACGAAAACCCATCAGGGCAGTGCAGCAGAGCAAATGGGGCTGTGCAGGAAGGGGGGGACCCTGCAGAGCCCCCCCATCCCACCCAGCATCCCTGCAGCCCCTTCCTCAGAAGAGAGGAAAGATTATCCTCTGCTACAGGATAACAAGGAAAATTCAGATGTGGGGTTTCAGCTCCTAACTAGAGGCATCAGGATGGACATTTGTTAAAAAGCTCCTAAAAAAAAAAAATCTGTTTGTCCCGCTGGCTCCCAGTCTTGCTCAAAGTTTGCTACACATATATATTATATGTGTGACTACTGGCAGACTTGAAACCACATTTGAAGTTTGCTACAGGCAGACACTTCCCTATGATCTTTAAAATATACAGCATGACGCGAGATATTTTAAATAGATCAAAATACATTTATTACATATTTATATTATTTTCTCTAGTCTATTTATATCTTTTGGAGACTCTTATATATAATATATATAATATATTTAAAATAACATAAAATTGGCCAGTTTTGTCATCTGAAATACATTTTACAAATATATATATACATTGTCACATATATCTCAAATATATGTGCAATGAGACAGAGAAACACCGGAGGTGGAAAAGATACAGATACTGTCATTGCATCCATCAGCTTCTCTATCGCTGCACATCACCGTTGCCCCAGTGAACGGACTCGGCGTTTTACCCCTGGGAAACCAGCGCTCCCAGTTGCCAACCTGCCCGTGTGAACTGGTGCCGGCTCTCAGTCCCCAAACCGTGTGGGGCCAAGCCTGGGGAAGCACCGGGATGGGGTTTGGGGAAGGGGAAGGTGGGGGGGGAGGGAATGGAGGAAAGATGGTGCCCCTAGGAGGGGGCAGCAGGACAGATGTGCACAGCTGGCGGGTGCCGGAGCTCAGCGAGGTGACGGGTGGCATCGGGTCGGGCACCATCCCATGTCCCCTCCCTGCCGGATCCTGCCCTGCACCAACCCCCCACCCCATGGCAGCATTTCTGAATTGGGGGGGGTGGGAGAGCAGGATCCAGCTGGAGCACCGGCCCCGGCTGCCGCACACGCGTTTCGGCGTGCAAGGAATGGAACACACACACACACACACACACACACACACACACACACACACAGAGGGGACTCTTTTGGTTGTCAGCACAAAAGGAAAGGAAAGAGCAGGAGGGTTTAAAAATAAACGTATTTGTTCTGCCTTATTAAAGATAGAAAAGGTGGCTCTGAATTCATCTTCTACAAAAGGTTTGAAGGTCAAGCAGGCACCGAATCGCGAAAGGTTAAGCGCTAAGTGATTGTCCCAGCCCTAAAAGACTAAGTGCACTACATTTGGTTATGAGAAGCTAAGGCTCATCCCGACGGCTCCCGGCCCCGGGGACCCACCGCCCAGCCGAGCGAGGACACCGCGCGTCTGTTGGGGGCAGAGGATGCTCTTTCTGGCCGGTGGTTTTGGGGTGCAGGGATGCGGGTGCTTTCTGCTCTCACCCGTGTATCTTTTTGGGGTGAAGCCGAGTGGGAGCAGCAGCGGGGCCGGCCCCCCAGGTCCCCGGCCAGGGCGGCTGCTGCTGCCAGAGGCTGCCCCGAGCCCCGGCTGAGGGCAATCCCTACGGGATGCTGGCCAAGAGGATTAGCGGCTCTTTCCTTTCTCGGACTCCTGCCATCCTCCAAGGATCAAGTGTAACGCCGGAGTTAACTCCATGGATGGAGCGGCTGCGGCTCGGGGGAAATGGCCGGCAGCTGTTTTGGGGGGTGGACGTGTCCCCTCACTTGGCTCCAAGCCTCTTCCCGCCGGGATCCCGCTCCATCCCTGCAGTGACCGACACCAAAACGCACACCCCAAGAGCATCCCTGTGCCTTTCCAGCCTCTCCGGAGAACATGAGTGCTGGACAAACACCACTTTTTGGCTTTTTTTCACCTTTTTTTTTTCCTTTTTTCCCCCCCTTTCTTTGACAGTTCATGTGATGATTAAAACTACTGCTGGGCAGCCTTCCCAATGCTCCCTGATGGTAGGAAAAAAAGACCAGTAGCTCAGAGCACTCACAGGTAGGCAAAAATAATTATACACTATGTACTGGTGTGGTCCATGGCCAGGGCAAGGACTATACAGTATATATATGACAACTCGCCAGAGCTAGATCCTCACTAGTGGGGTTTGGGGAAGGGGGTGTGTGAACAGGGGCTGGGAAGGGTCCAAACCCCCCCCTCGCCTTGTTGGCCCCGGGCGCTCCCCAGCCCAGTTCACCTCCTCCTATGCAGCAGTTTAAAAATACGTCTGTATATATTATTCTATTCTCCCAGGTAACACTGTACAATCATAGAAGTTTCTTTAAAAGCAATAATTTACTTAAAGACATCTCTATTTCTCTTTTGTTTTTATACAAATATTTACTGTGATATATATATATTTATAAAGAAATTAACCCTCTGAGAACCCTACAGCAGCAAGATGTGCACCTTTTTTTTTTTTTTTTATAATTATTATTTATTCAAAAGAACCTAAAACCACGTAAAAGCGTTTTTTTAAAAAAATAAATAAGTAGTGCGCACACAAAATCTCTCTGCCCCCCTCTCCATCCTTCCCACCCCCCAGATGCTATGGGGCAAAAAGCGGGTGGCAAAACCATCCCCCCCCCCCCGGGAGCCATGGGACCGGCAATGGGATGGCATCCATGTTCACTGCCTCAGAAACACAAATGTCGTGACCGGAGCTCAATGGCACGTCCCTACGTGTCCCCGCTTTGGGGAACAACCCCTCTGGGGCAGCCGGTGCAGAAGCACCAGCTCCCTCCCGGAGCTGCCCCAGGGGATGTTTTCTCCCAGTGGCTGTTTTTTTTGGGTGGGGAGAAAGCCAAAAATAGAGCAGCCTCTTGGTGGGCAGCATGGGGTGGAGGTGATGGAAGCAGGTGGGAACAGGGTGGGAAGAAACCCTGTGGGGACAAAGTCCCGGTCCCTGTCCTGCGGCCGGTCAGGGAGACACGATGCTCGGGGGCATGGAGAGGGGGGGGGGAGGCACTGGGACAGCAGCTCCCCAGAGCCCTTTGCAGGAAGGAGCTGAGGATGGGGACACAGGCTAAATCCTGCCTCTGCCACTGATGGTTGGACACGCCACGGCGAGTTGTTAACCCTGGGACGCGGCTTCCCCGGTGTAGGCGGCGGGGACAAAACCACCGGGAGCCCATCACAGCCGAAATGCTGCTGGGGACCCTGCTCTCGACCCCTTCTCCCCAAAGCAGGGTGCTGCCGGGGGCTCTGCGCCCAGGGTCAGGTGAGGGATGCCTGTGGGTACCAAAGCCTCTCCCGTGGCCGCAGGGAGCAGGGAGCCGGAATTTGGCTCCCGGAGCACCAATGAGCAGCATGGCCGGGGTGCAACCTGCCTCTTCCCGACTCCTTCCCTCTGTGCAAAGGCGGGGAGCAAGGGCAGGAGCAAAGGCTTCCCACGTACGGGGTGGTTTAGCCTTGTGTTGTAACAAAGGCTAAACCAGCGTGCCGTCGAGGCCAGCCTAACACACAGCAGACGGTGGGATGCGGGCGCTGCCAAGGGGGGGGCAGAGCAAAGTCATCCTGGGGGTGAGGTGGGGTGGGGGGCTTAGGGGAGGCGAGTGGGGTGCTGCGGAGGAGAGCTGGAGCGCGGGATGAGTTTGCATCTCTAAGGCACAATCCACCTTGAGGCTGGGACGCGGGGATGGGTTGAAGCACAAGACAGGGTGGTTTTCTCAACTGGCATCTGTTGTTTTCGGAAAAGCATCTGCCTCTGAAGCAGGGCTCTCCGGTGAACGGGGAATTCATAAATCCCAGCCTGGCACGGAGACGGCTCCTGTGCCAGAAGAAGTGCAACCCAACAAGATGACTTTTGCATTGATTTCCACATTTGAAATGATTTTTCAAAGGAGAGAAAATGCCGAATTGGTTGGAAACGTGGAAAAATACCCGAATTTGAGAGCTTTTCACTCTCCTTTTTGTGCTTTGCTTTATTTTGTCCCAGTTATGGTGAAACTTATGAATTCCCCATCAGAGATGCTGGGAGAGACCCAGCACTTCAGCAGCTGATGCCCCAGACCCCATTTCCATCCTGAAGATCAATATTTCCAGAAATTGGCTAATTACTGTGTTTACAATGCCTCTTTCTATCACAGTCTGGCTTTTCTTTTCTTTATTAGCTACTTTGCTAGTAATTATGCTACTTGCTTTCACTGCCACAGACCTCCAGCCACTTACATCTGTTTTCTACCTACAAAGCCACGCCAGTGGAAAAAAACGAAAACACCCCAAAACTGGATGCAGTCTTGACTTCTAGCTCTTGTATCTGCCCAGCGAGTCACCCCCTCAAAGGACCCCAGTGGCTTATTCATTCCCTTGTTCATTTTTAAAAAATACTGAATGACTTCTTTCAGATTTAATATTATTATTATTATTATCATTATTATTATTATTGTTATTATTATTATTATTTTGGTAAACAGTCTCCCAAACGGTACGGTGAAAAAATTAAAAACCCTCTCGCCTCCCTCCCCACCCCACCCCCCCCCTTTATCCCAAATTAAAAAGAAGTACGTTAATGTTGCATGTTATTTCAAGTGTTGTTCTTGTGCAACTGAACCAGACCACCTGCCGGAAGGAGCAATTTTTTTTCTTGTTGCTGCTCAGTTAAAAAATAAAAGGAAAAAAAAAAAAGAAAGAGAGAAAGATTTGTTTCCTGATATTTCCTCTTTTTGGATCTCGCAGTGCTCGGCTCCAAGAAAACGCTGGCGTTTTCCCCGCAGGGGGAGCAAAGCCCCGCGGGGCCGCATGGGGCGAGCGCCTGCCCACGCCCCACGGACCCTCCTCTCTCCGTCCGTCCGTCTGTCCGTCCGTCCCCACAGAGCCGTCGGCCCCACTGAGGGCGCCGGGCACGGGAGACGCGCCGTGGCCTGCCGCCGTCCCCTCCTGCAGACCGCTCAGTGGTTATTGCGATGAAACTGAAAACTAAGAACGATACTAATTTCTCAAGCATTCCTATGGCACTTGCATTGTTCTGCATAATTTGAGCGGGTTGTAGGGGAAGAGATTAGAGGAGGAAAAAAAATACCCTCGGAAAAGTCAATGGAAGGGCCAAGAGTCATATTTCTGACTCCCTCCTGTATGACCTCTGATCCAATGCTATTGTGGCTTGAAGCCTATCGAACTCATGCCTGTTGTCCGGGCTCAGGTCCTCCAAACCCCGACTGTCATCGTCTTCCTCTTCCTCATCTCGGCTCATGAAGGCCAGCTCGTTCTCGTAGCAGAAGGAGTTGGTGCTGGGCAGCAGGAATTTGTTTTCCACCAAGTCCTTGGCGCTGCAACGGGGGGTGGACGGGACCTCATAGGTTTTGTGGAAGTGGGAATAGTCTACTTTGTATTGGTTTTTCTCCTCGAACAAGACAGGCTCGAAGCGGTGGCCCCAGAGGATCTCACTGGCCAGGTAGGAGCTCCGAGCTTGCGTCGTCATAGCGGTGGCTTCTACCATACCTTCCAGGATGACCACGATCTCAAAGTCATCTGTCTCCAAGTCCTGACGGCTGATCCCAAACAAGGGGCTGTCTTCATTGATCTCGTGGAGAATGGTGATGGGGGACACCAAGAAGATACGGTCCAAGCCTTTATCAAACCCCACGTCAATGTCTATTTGGTCGAGCGGTATGTACTCCCCTTCTTCTGTGATCCTGGGCTTAATTAGCTGAGCTCGTACGTGGGCTTCTACTATGTGGCTTTTCCGGAGGTTCCCAACTCTCCACATCAGGCAGAGTTTTCCATCTCTCATTGCCACTACTGCATTATGGCTGAAAAGTAATGTCTGCGCCCGTTTTTTGGGCCTGGCCATCTTTGCCATTATTGCACCAATCATGAAAGAGTCAATTATACACCCCACGATGGACTGAACCACCACCATGAAGACAGCAAGTGGGCACTCCTCCGTCACGCAGCGGAAGCCGTAACCAATAGTCGTTTGGGTCTCAATGGAGAACAGAAAAGCAGCCACAAAGCCATTGACCTGCAGAACACAAGGCTTGAAGGTATCATCTCCACCTGGGTTTTCTAGGTCTCCGTGAATGAGTGCAATTAGCCAGAAAATCAGCCCAAACAATAACCAGGACACCAGAAAGGCCAGGGAAAAGAGCAAAAGCATATACCTCCAGCGGATGTCAACGCACGTGGTGAACATGTCTGCAATGTACCTCTGTGGCTTGTCATCCATGTTGGTGAACTCCACATTGCACTGACCGTTCTTCTTTACAAACCTGTTCCTGCATTTCCTCCTGGTGTGGATTTTCCCGTTGCCAAAGCCGTTGATACCTGGCATGGTGGTCAACCTCAGCCCGTCTTCCTCGGAGGACACGATGCTGTAAGGGTTGACTCTGCCTGCAGTCATCCCTGAGCCACGCCCACAGTGAAGGCGAAGGGTCTTGCGACTCCCAGCTTCCCCCTGACCCACCCCTTCCCACCCCCCAAATTCTGTTGTGGTGGAAGAGAAGTCCCAAGCTTCCACGTCTTGGCTGCCACGTCACCACGTGGATCCCGTGAGAGGCTCTGCAATAGAAAACAAAGACACGGCTGTTACCTCTCACGGCAAAGGGACCCAAGGGGGTGTTTGGCCATGGGTCTGAGCGGGTGGGTGGCTGCATGTTGAGCAAGGACCCCACCTCATGTGCCCTTATTCTCCTTTCTATGGCTAGGCTGTTCCTCAAAACCACACACTAGGAACGAATAAGGTCTTAGAGTTTGTTCTTCTGTACTACAAAGCGAGCGAGCAAACCTTGTTGGGGAGATGCAGCATTTGTGGGACCTTCAATGACACCCGTGGATGGAAAACCTTGGGTAGCACTGGAGGCTCTTCCCTTTGCTTTTCTCATGAGCTCTGCTGTCAGAGCAGGGTCAGGCTGCTGCAGAGGAAAGCAGAGAGGCCAAGCTGCTCTCCTTAGCACAGAGATATTAATAAAGGTACGCCTGAAAGCTACTCCATCAGTTCACATTGCCCGTGCCAGATGGACCGCTGCCCAGCACATCGCAGCAGCAGTTGCCCGACCTCCTGAGCACCAGCGCTTCTGGGGTCAAGGGAAACCACAGGGAGATGTGGATTTAACCTCTGTCCCCCCCACCCAGGGACGGGATAGGACACAGCCAACATGCAGCCAGTTGGAGAAGGCCCAGGGAAGGCACTCGCTTGGGGCAGATGTCCCGAGGAGCAACTTTCCCAACACATCCATTGGGACATGGAGCCATCTATGGTCACAGATGGGTTTTGCTGGCCAAGTCTTATGAAAGGACAACTGCCACTGGGGAAAAAGAGTTGTTTTGATCCCTTCTGGAGGGCTCAGCTGTAGGGTCAGGGACCTACACTCAGCTTTGCCTGGGAGAGATGTTGCATTGACATGGGAGCGGTGGCCCAAGCTGGGTGGGCTCCCTCGTGCAGGTGAAGCCAATGGTGGGGTGTTCCCTGGCAGGCTGCTGACTCCCCCCCCCCAGCCCCTCTGCGACGGCACGTGGGGCTGCATCAGGCAGTGGATGGGATGGTGAAGAAGCCACGTGGCACATCCCAATGCGCCCCTGAGAGACGGCACTGCAGGGTCTCTCCTCAAACCACCCCTTGCCGCACCTCATCCTGCTATTTAGGGACACGAGATGTGTCACTGGAGATGAAACCACCTTGCTCCAGTGGGACGTGCATGGGGCAGTAACATGGTGCTGGGGGGGGCGGGTGAAGAGCCCCCCACGACGCCCTGTCCCCCCCAGCTCAGGCTGTCCAGGCTGTGTTGGACCCGATGGCCCGATCGATGCGGTCGATTCCTGCAATCAGCTCGAGTGCCCGGGGACTCTCTGGGACAAGCACACCCTTTCCATCACAGGCTGGCCAGGCCCAGCCCAGTGCCGGGAAGCATTGCCAGGCCCAGCCTGCCTGGGGCTGCAGCAGCCCGGCTAGCAACAATATCCTGGCTTGCCTTTTACAGAAATTCCCCCCAAATCCAGCCTGGGACTTGGGGATTCCTGCAGAATCCCAGCACCACAAGCAGGAGCACTAACAACCTGCCCAAACCTCCCAGGTGCTGGAAAGACACCCACATGTGGCACCATCTTACACACCGAACAACATACTTCCACCTGCTGCAATCCAGACACAACCATTTTTCATTGCAAAAGCTGATTTTTTCAAACAAAGCCATTATTTATTGGTGTGTCGGCAGACCAAGCAGTTGCTCACACCCGACTGGGGCAGTCAGCACAAGATCCTCTCCCTCCTTACAGCCATGGGGAAGAGTAAAATAGGCAAGAACAGTTAATATTTACAACCTCATAGTCGCTGGAAGTCAAATGGGACCAAAGTGGTCTTGCAGAGCTAACGTGTCAGGATGGCTGCAGGCTCACGCTGCAGCCTGGTCACCCATCCCAAGTCTTCGTCCTGACCACAACGGCTACACTCATTAAAGCTTTCTCTCTTTTTTTTTAATGAGAGCTGAACATTTAGAGACAAAAAAGGCTACTTCTCCATCTCCCCTCCAGCTCGCCCCTGGGGAATATGCTGAATGCTTTTGCCACAGGATGAATTTACTGTCGAGTTTTTTTAAATTAATTCTAGATGTGTCTGAGAAGTGAACAAAATGCAGTGAGCTCCCAGTGACCTGCGAGAGGATTAGCTGGGGTCTGGATTAACTGTGCTGGGAGGGGAGACGTGGCTGGGTGACTGTGGAGGCAGCGGCGCTGCCCTTGCCAGGGGGTGACACTCCCGGGGACCCTCGGGCCCCCCAGTCACCACCACTCCCCTCTGCCTTCCCCCCCTTCCCCCCTTCCCTCTTTTCTTGCTTTCTCTGGCTCTTCCTTTCTCTCTTCCTTCTTTCTTGCTCTTCATCCATCTCTCTCTCTCTCTCTCTTTATCTTTCTCTCTTTCTTGTTCATTTTCTTTTTTCTTTCTCTTTCTTCTTTGGGTTCTTTCTCTTTATTTCTTCCTTCCTTTCTTCCCCACTTTTTCTTCTTTACTCTTTTTCTTTTCTTTTCTTTTCTTTTCTTTTCTTTTCTTTTCTTTTCTTTTCTTTTCTTTTCTTTTCTTTTCTTTTCTTTTCTTTTCTTTTCTTTTCTTTTCTTTTCTTTTCTTTTCTTTTCTTTTCTTTTCTTTTCTTTTCTTTTCTTTTCTTTTCTTTTCTTTTCTTTTCTTTTCTTTTCTTTTCTTTTCTCTTTCATTTTTTGTTTTTTCTTTCATTTTTCCTTTCCTTTCCTTTCCTTTCCTTTCCTTTCCTTTCCTTTCCTTTCCTTTCCTTTCCTTTCCTTTCCTTTCCTTTCCTTTCCTTTCCTTTCCTTTCCTTTCCTTTCCTTTCCTTTCCTTTCCTTTCCTTTCCTTTCCTTTCCTTTCCTTTCCTTTCCTTTCCTTTCCTTTCCTTTCCTTTCCTTTCCTTTCCTTTCCTTTCCTTTCCTTTCCCTCTTAATTTCTTCCTCTTTTTTCCTTTTCCTTTTTCTTTTCCTTTTTCTTTCTCTTTTTTTCTTTTTTATTATTTTTCTTATTATTATTCTTTTTCATTTTCTTTTTCCTTTTCTTTCTTCTTTTCTTCTTATTATTCTTTTGCTCTTCCTCTCCTCTCTCTGATTTCTCTCCCTCCCCTCCCTCCCTTCCCTCCTCCTCCCTCCCTTCCTTCCTTCCTTCCTTCCTTCCTTCCTTCCTTCCTTCCTTCCTTCCTTCCTTCCTTCCTTCCTTCCTTCCTTCCTTCCTTCCTTCCTTCCTTCCTTCCTTCCTTCCTTCCTTCCTTCCTTCCTTCCTTCCTTCCTTCCTTCCTTCCTTCCTTCCTTCCTTCCTTCCTTCCTTCCTTCCTTCCTTCCTTCCCTCCTTCCCTCCTTCCCTCCTTCCCTCCTTCCCTCCTTCCCTCCTTCCCTCCTTCCCTCCTTCCCTCCTTCCCTCCTTCCTTCCCTCCTTCCTTCCCTCCTTCCCTCCTTTTCCTCCTCCCATGTCACACAGGATTTCACCCTGTCCAAGCACCCCAGATATCAGGGAACCCTCTGCTGCGGGGGGGATGCCAGGACAGACCCGAGGGCCAACACTGCTCTGGGGACAGGGGAACTCTCGTGACACAGCCCACATCCCACACGGGACCCCACATTCACCGAGGCCACGGGACTGAGTCCTCCCCAAAACACCAAAGCTCCTGGGGGGGACAACCCCCCCCCCCGGCCCCAGGCCAGCAGCAGCAGCATGGGGAGACGGCAGCTAAATAAAGGCGAGCAAAGTGGATCTGTCGGAGCAGACGGCCGCCTGCGGCTCGTACTTTATTTAGCACAGTTTTGTTTGGAAATACGCTTTCTCAAGTTCGCTGCAAGCTGAATTTCTGGTTTGGTTTTAATTTGAAGGCTGGAGCCCCACGCTGGCGCTGTGGGAGGCTCAGGCTGGGAGAGGGCTCCTGCAAACACGTGGAAACCAGCAGCTGGACAGGCTCTGCCGCGGGCTCCGGCTGGGGACTGCGGCCCCGTGGTCACCCTGCATTTCCTTCGGTGACAAGTGCCATCCTCCAGCATCACCCCGGCATCTCCCCACCACCATAACTGCCCCAGGGCGCTGGCGTTACAGGTTACATCCCCCCTCCCTCCCTCCTTCCTAGGACTTTCACACCCTTGACCATCACAGTTTCACCCCTGGGAACAGACTCAAAACTTCCCCTAATAACCACAACCCCTCAATCCCACTGCCAGCCCCAGCTTCGGCGCAGATAAACCTTCGCAGGATGTCGGGCAGGGCTGGGACCATCCCCTGCCGCTCGTGCCACGCGTCGTGCGCAGCGCTAATAGTGTTAACACGTAGGAAACAAAACAGGCCCGTCATATTAAGAGCGGGAAGGGATGGCCCACAGCTCCCCACGGGCTCGGAGCGCAGCGACGCCGCGGACTACCCCAGCTAACGAGCTGACATTAGAGGCAAGGACTCCTGCCACCAAACTGCAGCAACCAAACTCCCACCGCGGAGCGGTTTCCCGCAGAGAATCCAAGTGTCTCCAGCAATCTGCCAACTGCACAGCTAATTTTATTTATTTATTATTTTTAAAAAAGGGAGTTAAATGTTACAACAATATGCTGAACAGCCAGCGCGCCGGGAGAACGTGTTGAGTGCCAGGGAGGTCATTAGTTAGAGCTGACTGAATGTGTTGATGCCATTTATCAGCACATCTTTCCCCGTACCTCTGGAGGGGGACTCGTTTCGGGGCCATCAGGGCTGCTGTCACCCTCCTGCCACCTCCCAGCATGGATTTGCTCCCGGTTCGTGGGGGTGTGTGGGGAAGCGGGATGTGTTCAGGTGGGATCGACCCGGGTGGGGACTCGGAGGAGCTGAGGGGGGGGGGGGGGGGGAAGCAGGTCTCCTGGCTGCGGGGGCAGGAAGGGTGATGGTCTGGGAGGGGACAGTGCGAGGAGGTCACGCGCGGTGCTGCTGCCCGCCCTGTGCTGGGAGATAACACCGCTATCTCCCGCAGCGATGCCCTTCATGCCCCAGCAGCGGGACGGTGAATGTCAGTGGCGAGGAGGGAGCTCAGCTCCCGGCGCGGGGCCGCGGCCGTGCCGGCACAGCTGAGGGTTCCCAAACTGCTCCTGCTCAACCCATCCTGACAAAGCGACCTGGCACCCTGGGGGGGGGTTGGCCAGCGGAGCTGAGGGGCTCCCCCAGCTGCTATCGGCCCCCGATCAAGCACGCCCCCCACCATGCTGGGGCAGCACTGCTGCTTGAATAACTCCTCCGACACCCCATCTTTGGGCACTTCCAATAAATTAAGGGTCGACACAGGGCAGGGCATGCCCTGATGAATCCGGAGGATAAACGACCCCCTGCTTCCCCTCTGCTGCCAGGGTGGACAGACAGGAGGCTCCCACTACAACCCATTCCTAATGACAAGAAACTGCTCCATTTTGGCAAGGATATAGGTAGAAAACAGTCGCAGGCATGCAACCCTCCCCTGGACCCCCATGCACTCCACTAGTACCAGCAAGCAGTCGAGACATTGCCATCTGAGAACACTGATGGAGCATGCAGGAGGGAAACTGAGGCACGGGGAAAAAGAAAGGCCCTTGGCAGGGAGACTGGGGGCAACAGGGTGCCTGGAGAGGTGCTGGCTCGTCCCCGTCCCCCTGAGCCACGTGCAGATGCCACCGCGGGCATGGGAGGAGAAAAAGGGTCACGTGCAGCACTCGGCACCACTGTGGCCAGGTGGCCTTTGTGGGATGGTGGGCTTGTGCTTAAGCACCCTAAAACTCCTGCTAAATGTGCCCTGGATCAGCTGAGATCGGGAGAAAGATCTCTTCAGAGGCTGCAGTAGCACACAGTTGGTCCCCAACTCCATGGCATCACAGGGGGACCGAGCACCCCGCTCTGGCTGCCTCTGTGTGTGTTCCAACCCCAGCACCCAGCCCTGCCCTGGCACCCACACACGGCGATGTCAGGAAACAATGCAGCACCCACAGTCCCCCCCAGCCCCCAGCCAACCCTGCTGCCTCGCCAGCTCCTGAAATCCCATCTCGTCGGCTGTTTGTCTGTCTGCTAGCACCCATATGGCACGACAGCAGGACGTGGCTGGGGGTGAGGATGAGGGCAACAGGAGGTGAAGGCCTTAGCAGGGTTAATCCACATCGGAGGCTGTCAGAAGATGCCCCAAAACCCCAGAGGATGCAGCCAGGCTGCCCTGTCCCTGCAACAGCCGTACCCAAACCTCCAGGGTACCCACAGCCCCTTCTTCACAGCCCCCCGCAGCCCCCCTGCAGCCAGTCCCGGCTGCCCCGGCTCAGAGGACGGGTGTTAATACCCCAGCAAATCGCCCTGGGAAGGGGCAGAGCCCCAGCCACCCCCCCCAGGCGAGGGGGGGCTCCAGCCAGACCCTGGGAGGAGGGGGTCAGCCCTTACCTGGTGCGTGCCCGGGGGGGTCTCCCCAGCTCTCCCCGGCCATGGCTGCGGGGCGCAGGGTGCCCCGTTGCCCTGCTGCAGCCCGGGCAAGAGACAGAGAGTTTTAATTGAATTTCTAGATTATCCTGGGGGAGAAATTGTAATCTCCTTAAATCCAACCTCTGGTCGAGTCCCGTAACCTACTGTCCTGCGCTGGGGAAGGGATTTAGTGAGGGGGAGGGGAGGTTTCCCAGCCTGCTGATGCCCTGGACCCCGCTCCCTGCAGGATTTGTCCCACAGGACGTCAGATATCTGCCCCCAGCAGCCCTGTGGCCCTGGGAATTAAGACTCTGCGGCAGCGATACCCTGTCCCCTCTCCCCACGTCATGCCACAGTGACTGGGGGTATCCCGAGAGCCTCCCGGAGCCGGTGGGGCTGGGGCACCAGCGATGGAGTTGTTTGGTGCTGGGTGGAGGAAGGGAGATGGGCTACAGGGTTAGTGGGGTGTTTGGAGGGTGAAGATGAGCCCCCCTGAGTGGGACTCGTGGCTGGGGCTTTGAACTGAAATATCGCCTGGCCTGGCTGTGCCCGAGGTGCCGGTGGGATGTGCAAGTCCCCGTGCCAGTCCCCTTCCTTGCCTGGGCTGCAGTGGGTGCCTCTCTCCCGAAAAGCCGCACCCATGGCCCGCGTGGGCCAGGGGGTGTTTTTGGATGGGTGACCTTGGGGTGTCCCTGAGCCTGCCCCGTGCACTCTCCTCCATCACATGGCCCTGGTCCCTCCTGCGTGCTCCCAAATCTGGAGAGGTACCAGGCTCCAGCCCCAGCCCCAAACCGTCCCAGGGACAAATGCCAGTGATGGGGCCACGAGCAGATGATGGCAAGAGCTGAAATCAGCCGGTCACGCTCCTGCCTGCCCTGCGCCCTGGTTGTGCCGTAGCTGGGGCCTCTGCAGGGACGCGGGTTCCCGTCGGGAACGGCGGGTTCCCAGCCAGCACATGCCAAGAGGCTCGGGGGGAAAGCAACAACCCTGTCCCAGCTCTGGCCCTGGCCAAGGGGGGATCACCCGGCTGCTAAAAAGCGCCATGGGAAGGAAAAGAAAAGCGGGACAGAGAGGGCAAATGTCTTCGAGCAGATTTTATCACCCACCAGCTGGAGGTGAGCCGAGAGCTGTAGCGCTGAGAAGTTCCCAAGCTGCAGGTAGCACCAGGGCCGTGCTCAGCAGCATCCCTGGGGTATCACAAGCATGAATTATTTTAAGACCCTCCTCATAGAGAAACTGCTGCTTCCACCTTAGGGTTAGAGGCAGAAGAGGACGGATGCGGACACCGTTCAGCTCCAGCTTGCGCACGGCAGGACTAAACCTGCACCTTGCCCAGCTCCCACCAACGTCCCTTTCCCAAAACCCATTACACCCAAGGCGGGTTTTCCCACGGAATTCTGCTTTCATCCAATGCAAACCCCCTCCAGGAGCCGTGTCTCCTGCTCGAGGGAAAGCGCGTGTGTGGGCAGAGCCCGCGCCCGGGAAATGTTTATCCTGAAGGCGCGACGTGCGGCAGGTTGGGAGCGATGGGGCTGCCAGCCAGAGCCGATGGAGCCGTGAGCCGCGGGGAGAGCGACGCCGAGCGCCTCAGCACCGATACGGCTGCCGCCACTGCCGAGGCGCTCGGCGTCGCTCTCCCCGCCGCGATGTTCCGGCTAGAAATAGGCGCGGAGAGGAGTAGGATGAGCACGAGAGCCATCGACCACTCATCAGCATCCTCTACGCTTTTGGGGGGGCTTTAAACCCGTGGTTATTCCTTCCCCATCCAAGCATTAGCAATCGCTCAACTCTCGGTGAAAAATACAACCCGTGTCCCGCCATCCTGGGCAATTTTCCTGGCTCCTTGGCCGTGCCAGGGTAAAGCTGCCGTTTCCACCCCAGAAGCGGATGCGTTTCCAGCACCCTTCAGCATCACCGTGGGTTAAGGTGTCGGCAGAGCCCTAAACTTGACTTTTAACCCCAGAAGGAAGGAGATGGGGAGGAAGGCCATGTCACGCTCGGGCAGAACCACCCTCCTGGCTCTACTTACCCCGCGATCGCAGCGAGAGCCGCAGGTGCCGAGACCGATGCTGGCGACCGAGCGAGCAAGTGGGTGGTGGGGACTTTGCTGAGCAGCACGCTGCCGTCCCGGCTAATTGCTCCCGAGCTCAGATTACAGCCTCTCTTCTTCCCTACATGTACAGGAGCTGGCACCTCAGCTGTAGCTGTGGGGAGCCACCGCCAGCAAGGGAAACGTCCACCTTCGGTGGCCTTTCTAAGGGGCAGGGAGTGAAATTGCCATCGTGGCAGTGTAAGAAGCCCAAGATCCCTTAGTGGTCTTGGGGGACTGGAAGATAAACAGCTCGAAGGGGATTTCAGTGATTTTGGGAATGCGAAGGACCAACCAGCAGCAATTTCAAACCTGGAGGACCAGATGCTAGACTGGGGCAAGGCAGTTGGTGGTCCAAGGCAAGACCTTGGTTCTTTGAGCTTGCCATTTAGTGATGGCCATGACCCAAATCCCACCTTCTAGAGGAGGAAGAAAAATCTCCCTCCTTTTCTGTTGGGGGTGACAAACCCCCTGGCACACATGTGATGTTGCCCAGTATCTTCAAGACAAAAGAGGCCTTCGCACTGTTTTGCTGCTACTAGTTTTCCCCCAGCTCATGGCTCTGCCCACACCAATTCAAGAGTTTCAGTGTCTTGCAAATCCTGCAAAGGCTTCCTTCAACACTCTTGTTCCTCAAGCTGAACCTAGTTGGAGTCCTCCTTCCCAGAGGATACTGGGTTTCTGGCCTTGGGTTTCTGGTCTTTCCACCCTGCCCTGATGTCACCGCCGAGCTGGACACCCCCAGATTGCAGACATGACCCCAAACTCAAGTAGCTGCAAGGGTGGCAAAGGCAGGGCAAGGTATTTTGGGGACTGTCTTTATCTCCTGTGGTGAAGATTTAGCACAGGCGTTGTATAACACTGGGGGGGCTTGCTGCTCCCCATCCCCTCTCGCTGTCAGGGATCGGTGACTCAATTAATCCTCCCTCATTCCCTGCCTGTGGGTACCAGCCCTGGGTGCCCTCTCAGCCTGGCCCCGGCAACCAGAAGTCAAGACTCTGCCCCATGTCAGCATCTACCAGGGCTGGTACCCCACAAGCCAGGGGTGACATCCTGGGGTCACCCCACTGCCACTACCTGGGGCACCCACCTCGTTTGGGAAGCCCTGCGCAAATGGGGGTGGCCACTAAGGTACCCGCCGGGCAGATATGTTAAGTCCTTAAACTCCCTTCTCATTATTTCTGTGCCCCAGCCTCGGGTGCTGCTGTGAATCACTTCGTTACGGGGCCCAGCAGCTGCAGACCCTGCGGGCAGAGACCTGGGCATTTAAAAGGTCATTTTTAAACCAGTGAGTTTTGGCGCACACCCCGTTGTGTTCCCTCCTCTGCTCCTTTTCACGGCCCAGGTCACTGATGGTTGGCTTGCTCAGGTACACACTACAGAATCACAAAAGCAATTAAGTAGAAGCCAGGAATCCCTTTTTTTTTTTTTTTTTTTTTTTTTTTTTTTTTTTTTTTTTGCCAGCCCTAAAAAAACAACCCCCACGTGTGTTCCTGGGCAACCCTACAATAATAAACAAGGTGAGTGCAAAGCCCAGTGTTGGCAAGCCCAGGCACGGCTGTGCGTGTACACGTGGGTTGACAAGGAGCACGGCACCGTTTCTCCAGCAAGCAAAACCAAAATGCTGCCAAGAGAAGATTTCAGGGGGGCAAAGGTGGTGGCAATACTGCTGCCGGCCACAACAGCCGACCTAACCCTGGGGTCCCAGTGCTGCCCAGCAGCATCCCGCAGAGGTGTAAAGCCAGACGTCACGCAGCACCCCGGCATAGCCGGGTGGCCACGGGCAGGGACGGGGGGAAGGTGCTCTGCAGCTGGGGCAGCGGGTGGGTCTGGTGGCACTGGGGAGGGTGAGACACGGTGACCTGCCTCCAACCCCCCCCCCCCTCCCAGTGAAAAGCCACACGGAGAGTTACACAACACCGCCCCGGCCGCCCTTGGCTGCGTGCGCCGTGCACGCTCCTATCGACGCAGCCCCGGCCGCCCTCCAACATCCCTGCGGGGAGATAACTTTGTAAGTGGTGTAAATGCAAGTGAGTGTGAGCGGGGAGGGGGGACCCTGCTCCGGCTCCCTGCCCGCCCCCCCCTCCAGTCCCTGACCTCCTGCAGCGGTCACCAGTGATGCTCGGGACTGATCCCGCTGTCCCCCAGCTCGGCCGTGTCGATGGCAGGGGGGGGTGTCAGGAGGGCTATGACGGTGTTGGGGGAACAGGGCGAGCACCCACCGCCAGCACCCTGCTGCAAAAACACAGCGGCTACGGCACCGCACGGCCCCAACCCAGGGGTTTTTAGGATATGCCAGAACGATGCAACAAATTCAAAGCTGGGGGACGTTAACACCAGATGAGGTCAAGGTAGTCAGTGCCCGCAGGCAGGACCTTGGTTTTTTGAACTTGCCGTTTAATGACGGCCATGACCCAGAAAGATCCTCCAAGCCTTTCCCAAGGGAGGAAGAAAAATCACCCTCTTTTTCTGTTGGAGGTGAAAAACACTTGCTGGTCCCACTGGTGCTCATGCCAGCAGCAAGGAGCCCTCCCCTTGGCATAGCAGCAGGGTGCAGCAGGGTTGCTTCTGTCCATAGAGAGGGGGAAACTGAGGCACGGCAGCTGGATGGGCCCGAGCATGGGACTGGCTGCAGCCCATGGCATCGCCTTCCCCCCAGCCCCGCCTGGCCCGAGGTCGAGGTATGTATAAAGCCGATAATGGAGCAGAAATAATTTTTCAAACGCCGAAGTTATGTAACCTCTCCTTGCCCTCCATGGACATTGTCTGTAATTATAGGCTCGGTACGAGGTGGGGGGAGCCCTCCGTGGTGGGGGGGACCGCAGCTGGCGTCACCCCAAAGGGCTTCACCCTCCTCTCCCTCACCGCGATGGGTCCCCAGGGCCGGGAACCGCTGTGGCCCCGTGGGATCCCATCCCTGAGGGACCCCGGTGGCATCGTGGCCGGTGCCCCCACCCAGTGTGGGGCAGCCCAGGTTTTTTGGCTGGGCTCTGGGTGGCTGAGCCCCCACCCCGGGGTGCGCACACCCCTCCAGCCCATCCCAGCATGCGCTGGATGTCGAAGCAGACGACAGCCCAAGCACGGCTGACATTGCCATGGTGACTATCAACCACTGCTGCTGGGAGGACTCGTGTGGGAGATGCTGCACCAGCACCTGCCCCCACAAAGCACTGACACCCCCCCCCCCCCCCAGCGACTGCCCTCCACCAGCCCCATTTCCACCACTTTCAGCCCCATTACACCCACTAGCACCTCGCAAAACCTCCTCCATCACCTCACAGCTGCCTCCAACTCCACCAGCCGTGCCTCAGTTTCCCCAGCCCTGTACTTGCCACCCGGGGGGGGGAGGGGCTGGTGTGCCCTCCCCGGGATATTTTTCTCTCTCCCAACTTCGGCCAAGGCGGCAGAGTTGGAGGGATGCTGAGCGAAGGCTCCGTCGCTGTGGCAACCCGTCGCGGCCGTCTCCAGGCGACCGCCCAGGGATGCTGCAGAGCCGCTCTGGAGGCAGGGCGAGAGGGACCAGGGTGGGGGGGGGGAGGTATCCATAGGGATGCCACCCCACACACACACACACACA